TACCCTTTCCCTCTAAGTGGAGTAGATGCTATGTTGGGTATGGAATGGCTCAAATCATTGGGAGAAGTTAAGGTGAATTGGAGTCAGTTGACCATGAAAATTGGTAAGAAACTAGAACATGTCTATTTCTTCAGGGACTTGACCAAAGATCTCAGAGTAGCTTGGGTACTTACCAACGGAATGGCTTGGTCAATGAGGGAAGTGAAGTTGTTGGTTTAATGCTGGCAATCCAAAAGTTACTAGATGAGCACCCAGAGGTCTGACGTGCTCTTGACGGACTACCACCCCATCGATCACATGACCATGCTATTGTGACCAAACCAGGAGAGCAACCACCAAACATTCGACCTTACCGGTACCCTCACCTACAGAAGAACGAAATAGAGAAAGTGGTACAGGAAATGTTGCAAAGTGGAATTATTCAACCAAGTAACAGCCCTTATTCCAGCCTAGTGTTGTTGGTTAAGAAGAAGGATGGAAGTTGGAGGTTCTGTGTTGATTATCGGGCCCTAAACCGAATCACTGTACCAGATAAATTTCCCATTCCTACCATAGATGAGCTGCTTGATGAGTTGAAAGGGGCCACTGTCTTCTCCAAGTTAGACCTTAAATCAGGATACCATCAAATCAGAATTAAAGTCAGAGATGAGTACAAGACAGCTTTTCGAACCCATGAGGGCCATTATGAATTCAAAGTCATGCCATTTGGACTGACTAATGCCCCGTCTACCTTTCAGTTACTTATGAAATAGGTATTCCGCCAATACTTGCATAAATTTGTGCTTGTGTTTTTTGATGATATACTTATAGATAGCAGTGACCTAACCTCTCATTTGAAGCACTTGAGCATTGTGCTAACTTGTTTGAAAGAGAACCAGTTGGTTATTAATTTGAAGAAGTGCAGTTTTGCTCAACCCAGAATTGAGTATCTCGGTCACATCATCTCCCAAGAGGGAGTTCAGGCAGATTCAGCAAAAATAGAAAGCATGTTGCAATGGCCTAAGCCTAAGCATGTGAAATCTTTGAGGGGTTTCCTAGGGTTTACTGGATACTATCATCGATTTGTTAAAGACTATAGCAAAATAGCAAGTCCACTCACTGATTTGCTAAAGAAGGATGCCTTTAAATGGACCGCGGATGTAGAAAAGGCATTTGAACAGCTCAAAACAGCCATGACTACGCTTTCGGTGCTGGTTATGCTGGATTTTTTTTCTTCCGTTTGAGTTGGAAACCGATGCTTCTAGGATTGGTGTGGGTGTTGTTTTAATGCAATGTGGTAGACTGGTGGCTTACTTCAGCCAAAAACTCTCTAATCCAACTCAGCAAGGTTCAGTATATGAAAGAGAGCTCATGGCCATAGTTATGACAGTTAAAAAATGGCGGCATTATTTATGGGGGCAGAAGTTCGTCATTAGGACGGATCAGAAAGTGTTGAAGTATCTATTGGACCAGCGAATAGTAGATGAAAACCAACAGAAGTGGGTCTCCAAATTAATGGGGTTCAAGTTTGAGATCACTTATAAACTTGGGAAAGAGAACCGTGCAGCTGATGCCCTGTCTAGGTAGGAGGAAGTGATGGAGTTAAAGGGATTCTCATCGTGGCAGCACGATGAAATTGAAGATTGGGAAAGGGAAGTTCAATTTGACCCGAAACTCAGTCAAATTATACAGCAGATACTGATCAAACCTGCCTATATAAAAGGGCACAGTATAGAAAAGGGGTGTTTGCTCTACAAAGGGTGACTGGTTTTGCCTAGAATTTCATCGCGAATACCATTACTGCTTAAAGAATATCATGACTCACCCATAGGTGGGCATGCTGGCTACTTGCGCACTTATAAACGCTTAGCCAATGTGGTATATTGGGAGGGAATGAAGAGCATAATGCAAAGTACGTGGCGCAATGCGATATATGCCAGAGGAACAAATATCAAGCTCTTTATTCGGCTGGGTTACTTCAGCCTTTGCCTATTCCTCAACAAATATGGGAAGATATAAGCATGGATTTCATCACCGGGCTTCCTAAATCCAAGCGGTATGACACCATACTAGTGGTTGTTGACAGATTTACCAAATACGCACATTTTCCACTGCTGTCTCACCCATTTACGGCCAAGGATGTTGCTGAAGTATTTGTGCATGAGGTTGTAAGGCTACATGGTTTCCCTAAGACCATTGTTTAGGATAGGGACAAGGTCTTTATTAGCCAATTTTGGAAGGAGCTGTTCAAACAGGTTGGTACCCAACTATGCCTTAGCTCCACTTATCATCTGGAATTCGATGGCCAAACGGAAGTCATGAATAGGGGCTTGGAAACTTATTTACGCTGCTTCACTAGTGACAAGCCTAGTCACTGGGCTCAGTGGTCATCCTGGGCTGAATATTGCTATAATACCTCTCATCATAGTGCTGCCAACATGACTCTGTTCAAAGCTGTCTATGGGAGAGATCCTCCTATCTTTCTCAAATTACAAAGTGAACTTTCCGCTATTGAAGAAGTGAACAAACAGCTTGCTGCTCGGAATGCTGTCATTTCTCTTTTGAGAGAAAACTTAGCCTGAGCCCAACAAAAGATGGAGGAATATGTAGACAAGCATTGAAGGGACATTCAATTTGAAGTGGGAGATAAGGTTTATGTTAAGATCCAACCTTATCGGTTGCGCACATTAGCCAGAAGGATCAATGAAAAGCTCAGTCCACGTTATTGTGGCCCCTTTAAGATCATTGAGAAGGTGGGTCTAGGAGCTTACTGGCTGGAACTTCCCCCCTCCACTTGCATTCACCCTGTTTTTCATGTCTCCAAGCTCAAGAAATCAGTCCCTGCTTTTGTTGTGACAGCCACAATCCCTGCTGCCATCTCTGCAGAGTTAGAACTGTAGGTACAACCTGAAGACATCCGCAAAGTTCGCAAGTTACTCAATAGGCAAGTAGAGGCGTTGGTAAAGTGGAAGGATATGCACGAGTTCGAGAATTCATAGGAAGCTGTTGATATGCTTCACAAACAATTCCCCGCCTTTCCCCTGAGGACAAGGTGAAACTTTTAGGGGCAGGTAATGATGTGTTTACTTTCGCTACTCACACATACAAAAGGAAGCCTAAGGAGACACATGAAAGTAGTAAGATGCCTTTTGTTGATTCAGAAAGTTGACCTAGGAGTTGTTACTGTTTTGACGAAAGTTTAGAGTTGCTGTTAGCTGTTCTTTTAGACTATTTTGGCGAACTATGTAATGCACTCTTGTAATACTTAGAGACATGTTGTCCCTGTTTTTGGACGACTATGGCTTATTTGTTTTTTTTGAGAGAGAGGGAGTGCACTGGCTGCTCGAAAGCCAGAGATGTGTGACTGGTTTGAGGCCTCATTTTGACATTGTAAAACCCTTCCTATCGTAAGGGAGAGGTTCTTGAATATTAATCATAGTTCTTGAGTATTTTTTTCCTCTTTTTTTTTCTATGAGCCGTATCAGTCTTCATCTTTCGGCATTTCCTCTCCAGTTGGCGAAGAGGTGTTCATCCTTCCCAACTTGCTTGTGAAGCCTTTCAAACTTTCACGTTGATAGAGTTTGGTTAGCAGATCTACAAGTCTTGAAAAACTTAGCAACGCCAATCCTCTTTCTTGATGCCAAGTCTTGAAAAACACAGCCATGATTATCAAATGTAACAAGGCAGCAAAGATGGTCAGTGACCTGTTTTATTGACATCAAGCTGCATTCAATGTCAGGGACATACAAGACATCCTTCAAAATGATGTTGGGGTTAATAATAACAATTCTAGAGCCTTTTACCTTTGCAAACTGTGCATTAGCAACTCTCACGGTGTTGTGGGTGGAATAATCACTGAATTCAGAATATAATTCCCTAAAGCCAGTAATATGATGGGTTGCGCCAGAATCTATAATCCAGAAATTTTTAGTAGTAGTCATGCTGTGAAAAAAATGAGTTAAGACAGTACTTGTATGAGCAAGGGTGACAGAAGGGGTAGACGGCTCACTGTCAGTAGTAGAGGATAGGTGCCTTGTTCAAAGTATGCGCAATAACATCAACTCATCATAACTAAAGGCATTGTCTACAGTAGATGTGCCACCTACCATCATTCCCTTGTTGTCAGGTTTGCCCTTTTGCTTCTTGTTGGGTGTCGCTTAACTTGAAACAAGGCTGCTGTGTTTTCAGTGACAAAGTATGTAGCTTTGGCTGAATCCTAGATTTCTTTGGCTGTGGTGGCGAGAAGATGGTTTTCACCTATATTAGCAGTCATAGGGTTAACAAGCCATGCCATTACTAGGTTGTTTTTTGCATGCCATGGAGCAAATTGAGAGTTAGAGGAAGCTGGTGGAGATTCAGTGAGATATTTCTCCTTATTGCAACCCCAAACAAACATCAAAGCATCGCGGGACCATTGTAAATAGTTATTCCCATTTAGACGATAGGTAACCGGAAAAGCATCAGTGGTTGGAGAGGGTAGAATTAGGGATGGTGCCCCTTGGTATTAGCAGCAAAAACGTGCAGCTGTAGGAGGGCAAGCTTGAATGCCATTTAGGGTAGAGTTTGATCACAGCTCTAATACCATGAAATATTTCTGAATAATATGCTGTATGTTACTGAATAATAGCTTTACGTGATATATAGGAGAAGGGAGAATAGTTTGAGTTAATGCAGATAATCCTAATTAATGTAGATCTGATTCTGCTTCCTAAATTATTCCTAAAATCATGGAGAGAATATGGGATAATGATCAGATTTTATCTTAATCTGACCGATACATGATTTGCGCCTAAGTGACCCTAGAGAATTAGGTTAAGCCTTAGCTACTGGGCCTTAGGCGGCTGACCCACATTCCCCCACTAAGTTAATGTTTATATTGCCACTCCTTATTTATGACTCATGAGTTATAACGCTACTTAGGCACACCTGCAAAGTTGAATGCTAGAAACCCTATTATTTGTTTCTGTGCTTCAACGCAGAGTTCTTTATTTGTGTATGACCTTTTTCATGGGCTTTTTTAGGTTAAATGGCTAAACAAGCTGCTCAGCAAACTGTGGCCATCTGTGGCAGAAGTGAGTATAACTGTGCCTCATTATATGCTTGAATAATAATTTCCCGCTGTGGAGTATCATTTGTTGATTTTTGCCCAGACTTTGTGCTCTGGTTAGAATTTGATATGCTCACATTTCTGATGTTGGGCATGGAATTTTGCTGATTATATATGACCTCTAATGAACAATGGATTTTTTATTGACTATGATGTTTGAGAATATTGCTTGTAACATCTCATTTGTGTTATGACTGGAAAGCTTTCATGTGTTTAATGATGACTCTGGCTCTAGCAGTAGCTAATAGTAATATAAAATGACAATTGTTCTGACAATATAATTGACATAGTTCATGGTACATCTTGTAGGTATATCGTTCTATCTAAAAGTGCAATGCATCTAATCCTAAGAGTAGGGAGGATCTCAAGGTTATCTGAATAATACTTCATTCACACCAACCAAATAATCTGACAATCCTGTATAAGTTTAACTTAACGCATATATCAGCAAACACAACAATAACTATCAATAACTAACATCTGCAGTTATTTAGGATAATCCTTAGTTATGACATTTCTAATATGTCCAAGTGTCCTACTGCCACAGTAGTCTGTCGTTTTGCTTTATTGTTACATTTCTGCCACCTGATTGACTTATTCTGCCTGGTTCCCACATTTCCTTCTTTTATGAACAAGGGACCCTGGAATGCTACCAGCATGTAGTGGCTAGGGATTAGGAAGATGCTTGCTAAAATATTTCTTTTTCTTTGCTTTTTCTGTGTTCTCCTCTATGGAGGACTTATGATCTTGTTTTATTTTCTTAATTTATCAAACTATGAATTAATGTTTTTGATCAGATTGAATCAAATTTTTTGAATTTTGGGAGATGCTGAAATTGGGATCTTTCAATGGGAAGCTGAAATCTGACTACCTATACTGGACATGACTACCTCTATTGTCATTTATATATCATGCTTTATACTGTGACAAAGTTTGTATATGATAATTGAATATTAGAAGCGAGCTCAATCATCAGCTTTTTAATTGTATGTTCTATACAAGCTGCGCTTTGCATCTTATTTTAAGATTTGCCTTTTTGCCTCAAGTTGCCCTGGAAATCTATTGGCACATGTGTTTGCCTGCTTTGCTGAAATAGCAGAGCAATCTTAATATTGCTGGGTTTTCATTACCTTTAGGCTGGATCCATGGTGATCAAAGAATCTGTTGAGCCACTGCTTGAGGAATACAGGCCTCCTGGAATTACTTCATTGAAATTCAGCAAGCTGTCTCTCGGAAATGTTGCTCCAAAGATTGAAGGTACCTTTTCTCCATATATATATATATATATGTATGCTCCCTCCATTATTTTCAAGAAGCATTTATGACAATTTTCCTAAATTGCCCTTTACCACGGTTTATGTGTGGAGGAATGTGAGAGTTCTGCATTTGTATGGAGTGAATTCAATTAAACGAGAGGATGGGATTAGTTGGCTTTATCTTTATTAAATGAAATCAGAAGGGCATTTTAGTCTAAAAAATAATTTGAGACAGTAAGGTCAAAGTGAGACAGCTTTTTTGTTTTTTTGGGGCTTATATTTGAATGTGGAGGGAGTATATTAAGAGAAGACAGATCATTGATTGAATAGGAGAGGGAGCTCATTGCATAGGACAAATGAAAGAGTTTATAAAATGTTTAGCGCCAAGTCTTCCGCATTTTTGAATGTCACTTTATGGTTTTAATTTCTCTTCCTTTTTGCCATTTTCTGCACTAATCTTTGAAGGACAAAAAGGCTTGCGTTCAAGATTTAGCTCAACAATGTTGTTGTTTTATTGCCTAACAATAACTTTCTGGGAGAATGAATCTATTGTTTTTCCAATGTTAAGATTCTATTGATTCTATTGATTATGTTCCAATTCCTTTTTTTTTTTTTTTTTTGCTTACCTAACTGGTTTCAAATTTTGATGCTGATAGTTGCTAATGATTGCTTTCGTTTCTGTTTGATTGTGAAAGGGTTGCCTTTTTTTTTAAGAATTTTGTTGCCATAGTAGAAAGGAATGAAACTTATAATCTCCAAAACTAAACATGGTAGAAAAGAACAAAATTGCATGTAGAAGGTCCACTATGGTTATTTAGAAATCGTCAATTTTTTTTGAAGCTTTTAATAGACTAAACTATCACAATTTGATAACAACCATAGCAGAGGTAGATACGTGGGGATCCTTGACATAATAATTGTGCTACAGGCATTTAAAGCCTAATATTATATGCACAAGCCCAAATGACAACGCTTAATCCCTTGATCATAATTCACTATTAGGAAATCATGTAAGTGAGGGCTCCATCCAATAACAATACACATTTCATTGAATATCTCTTTCATGCACTAAAACCAATGGTTTTTTAAATCCATAGTTCAAAGTAATTAAGTCATATAAAATATTCTAATTTATATTAAATAGTTCCTTGTTCATGGCATTGCTTATGTATATGAGAAAGGCAACGTGAGCTTACAACTAGACTCACTCTCTTACAACTTCCCCGAAACCCTACTCAAATCTCACTTGAAAAAAAAAAAAATGATAATATGGTAACGGTGACATCTAGAGACATCAGTAACCAATGGTTTTCCAGAAATATACACGCAAACTGAAATCGATAAAGTATAGTTCAAAGATCAAGTTCAACCAGCAATAATTAATTTATATAGGTCTTTACTTAAAACCTTTCGCAAAGTAGTTCTTGATTTGGTTACCAAAAATCCATTCCAAGGAAGCTTCTAAAATAGTTGAAGATCATAGTTCTCAAATCACTTTTACAGGAAATTCTACAAAACATATTTCAACCCTTTTTATAAAATATTGTAACACGAGTTTGATCATATAGAAATCATAAATCACATATAGCTGGTGCAGCGGAAGCATGGTGGGCCTATAACCCACTGGTCATATGATCAAAACGAATTGGCATGGAGCTGGGCTTATAGCCTAACATTCCTGTCTCTCTAAGGAGCAAGTGCATATTTTCTCTAGATGTAGATTCTTTTCTTGGATCGGACTACCTCCATTATGAGGAAGTACTTCATTTCCCCTAAATCTTTTACTTGGAATTCCCTTGCCATTGCCATTTTTATTCTGTCCATTTCTTCAAGGTCATTTCCTGTGAGAACTACATCATCCACATATATGCTTAAGATGGTTTTCTTAGCTCCTTGGTGTTTGAAAAATAAGGCGTGGTCACTGTGTCCCCGAGTATATCCTTCAACCTTTAGGACGTGTGTGAAATGTTCAAACCACTCACCAAGTGACTGTTTCAGCCCATAAATAGATTTCTTCAATTTGCATACCATTTTTGGTTTCCTGGTTGCGAACCTAGGAGGTGGCACCATATATACTTCTTCTTTCAGATCTCTATTCAAGAATGCCTTCTTTATGTCTAGTTGGTAGATAGGCCAGTCTAGATTTGCTGCCAAAGACATCACGGGATTCTTGCTGTATTGAGCTTAGCTACTGGAGGACATGTTTCTCTATAATTCGTGTCGTAGATTTGAGAGAAACCTTTAGATCATTGGTGTTGGTGTTGCCAGCAAGGTCAAGGCGAGAGAGGAGGGAGAAGGAGGCATCAAGTGTGAGAGGGAAGGGAGTAGATAAAGGGGTGAAAGAAGGGTTTTAGAAGCAGGGGGTAGGGTTGGGATTTTATGGGTGAAAGAGTGAAAGGAAGATGATAATGCTTATGTGGCATAATAGGCGGAGTATTATGTGGCATGATATCCTACTGTTAGAGCCACCTTAGCACAATGGAGTCAGCTAACAGTCAAAATTAACTTTGCTAATGGGTGGGGCGACATTGCTATGGTTTGGTAACTCTTGAGGTGACATTACTCCAAAAAAAACTTCTGAATAGCCACAACTCCTGAGTAAAAACTTCCATGGCAAAATTGGACCTTATTCCAGTAATAATTGATGCCTCAATATAATCAGAATCAGTTTATTTTGCTTCCCCCCTTCAACTTTCGATCACATTCCATTATTGTTCTAAACTCTATTAGTTTCTAGACCTCGTATAATATATTGGTCAACTGTAAGCATTAATTTACTTAATAATTCTCCTCATGATATTACTTAAACCTTTGAAATAAAAATTTGGGATGTTATAGTTGTTTCTTTAGTTATCATGCATGCCTTCCCTGAAATTGTTTTTGTTGTTCTGCTGGGGTATTTGGGAGTCTAGATTGGCTTCTTGGGTGGAGACTTGCGAGTAAAATCTGATTAGACTTCTGCTTAGCCATGTGTTTTTTTAATTTGTATGTTCATACTGTCAATAATTGCTCTAGTTTTTGTTTGGTGGGTTGCCATTTTTTCTCCCCCTTGTAAGAGTTTTATGTGGAGGTGGGAGAAGGAACTCCTGCTTCCTGTCCATGCATTTTACCATAATAAGAACTTTAATACTTGTGCTATAAATCAATTCAGAGTATTTATTAACTTCATAAAGGCTGTATCCTATGAATCGCAAGCATGGACACAACTCTGAGATAAAGCTTGGTCATGGATAATACTGCGGAATGGAAAATGTGTAATATATGCGCCATAGATGGTATGCATGGCTGTAGGTACATTCACATTAACAATATATACAAATATTAGCTTTTGTATATTGAAGAGGAAAATTGGTGGGTGCTCTTATAATTGGTGAATCTTAATGTGCTTTAAAACTTTTTAAATTCCTTACATGAAACTCGTCTGGTAAAACATCCCAAAATCTATTCAATCTGCATTTTTTACTAATATGAAATAGCTAATTTTATAAACTTAGAAAAGATTGAAATTTTTTTTTTGACAAAATATAATAAATGTTGTCTTGTTTTTAATTAATTTATAGATAATTACAGATAATAATTTAATGGGTTAAGGCACAAATTTTCTTCGGAAGTTCTTATTTAGGAGCGATAGGCACCTGAAAACTTTTTTGGGTGTAAATTTGCACCAGAAATTTGAAATCATAGCAATGTTATCCTCCTATCATTTAAAATATTAACGGTCAACATTAGTTTTTTAATCGTAGGGAGGCAACATTGCTACGATTTTAAACTTTTAGGATAAATTTGTATTCAGAAAAACTTTTGAGTGTCGAACGCTCCTTAGTGAAAACTTATGAGACAAATTTACACTTCAACCCTAATTTAATTTCAAGGGAAATGTTTATGTTAAATATATGTATTAATAACAACAGCTATGACTATTTTCACTATTCTCTGTGAATGTAATATATTATAATATTAACTTTCTACTTTTCAGCCCAAAATAAATAGAAGTGAAATAAAAGTGTAATAAATGTTATTTAGTGTTATATTTTGAACAAAAAGAAATGGACATTTTTGTTTGGGGCATCTTGGTTTAAACATTAAGTTTATAGTTCTGAAAGGGAAGGGTTTTTCGAACTGGTGCATCTTTTAGGACAAGGGAGAGCAATTTACCAAATTTCATGTAAATGCAGTTTTATATCCTGCTCCTTCTTTTGCGCCTTCCCATGATCACACTTTTCTGTTGAATTTTTCTTTAGTTCATGAGCTAATTGTGTGTAAATTCCTAATTCTTATAGGTATTCGTGTTCAGAGTCTTAAGAAAGGCCAAATCATTATGGACATTGATTTCCGGTGGGGAGGTGATCCTAGCATTATTCTGGCTGTTGAAGCGGCACTGGTTGCATCAATCCCCATTCAGGTTAAACTCAGATGACTGCTCTTCTCTCCTGTCTCTTATAGTTGTTTTGATAAAGTCCTGTTCCTTTACGGAGTTTCAAACAGTTATCATTATTTTTCTGGTTCAGTTGAAAGATCTCCAAGTCTTCACGATTGTCCGTGTTATCTTCCAACTTGCTGAAGAGATACCCTGTATTTCAGCTGTTGTTGTTGCCCTACTTGCTGAGGTAATCCGAGGGTGGAAAAAGAATAAGTGCCGTTCTTTAGTTTTTGAGCCACCATTCTGAATATTTGGACCATTTTGTTGGTTTAAAAAATAAAGATAAATATGAAAGGATTCTATTTAGTTTGCATTTATCTTATATAGGCAAGTCAAAGAAAAGTGGTAGCAAACACGTCTTCCTTGAATTAAATAAGTACTGTTTGCAACTAAATTTCCTTTCAAATCTCAATAATATCTGTTGCCTATGGTTCTGTTT